GCTGCATGTCATCTAACTGCATATTGGTAGAACCAGTCTGCTATAGTTTCTGACTCCTGGGGTTGGTTTCAGTTGTTGCAGCCCAAGGATTTAGACAAGAATAAAGAGTGTGATTCTGCTTGACCTCTCAGAGCTTTTGACACAATTCATCATGGTTTTCTTCTGGATTGACTCAGGAGGTGGGAGTTTTACAGTGCTCACGCTTCCGCTCCTACTTGCATGGTTGTGACAGAAAGTAGTACTAGGAGATAGTTGCTTGGTTACATGGCACTAGGATGGTGGAGTCCCACAACTGTCCATACTTTCTAGATGAAACTGTTAGGAGTTGTCTTTCAAGAATTTGGAGAATGGTGTCATCAGCATGTTGATGACATGTAGCTCTGTCTCTCCATTCCATTGGATTCAGGTATAGCCCAAACAAAAAATGCAATTACCTGAATTAATGTGGTGTCAGGTGCATGACAAGGAAAACTGCTGTGCCAAATTCCAACCTCTGCATAATTCTGGTGCCTTTTTCTGTTGCCATGCATTTTAAAATTGGGTACACAGGAGGCTCCTTGCCTCCTCTAGTAGCCCACTTGACTTCTGTGTTGGGCATAGAGGAGGGTTGGCGTTCTCTTTTCTCCCCCAGAAGCCCACCCACTCACCTACATGCTATTCATGATCACCTAAGTCTACCAGACTAGTGGTAGACAAGACTGGATGACATGGACCTTTTGCCCAATGCAATAAGATGGCCCTAAAGTTCTGTTAAGGTTCTGTTGATCTCTAAATAAGTCCACAAAGTTTCAATATTTACTGGAAGTCTAGGTAATGGGGTGAACTTTTGACATTGGAGGTATATGAGGTCTTCTTATATTGAAATCATGGTTCATAAGCTTTATTTCCAAGGCATCACACTAAGAAAATTAAAAAATGCTTCTTCTGCCAGTTGAAGTAGTGATTTGGAAGAGCTCCAGTTTTGTAACATCACTGACCTGTGGGAAACAGGGAAAAGGACCAGGCAGCTGAAACACAAAAAAGAAGAGGAAAAGCAAGAAAGGCCAGAGTAGTAAAGCACTTTGCTAAATGTCAGCGAATACACTGAGACATTAAAATTCAGAAAATGGGTTCTTTGTGTGTGTGTGTGTGTGTGTGTGTGTGTGTGATAAGAGTGGAAAGCAACAGGAGCAGCACATGAATCTGCTGCAAGACAAAGATCAATGGGGTAAACCTTTTCTTAAAAGCACAAGACTAAAAGCCTAATAAATGTCTTTGCAAGCAAAGAGGGAGAGTTAGTAATTAGCTATTCGGTAATGTGTGCAAAACATCAACCCGATGACTTGGGCTCTGATCTTTCTTTCACTGTTATAAGGGTTGCAAAAGTGAAGAGTGCATGTGGTTGACTAATGCTCATGTTTCCAGTCACCACTCAGTTCACTGGAGTGCTAGGTGGTGCAGCATGGTGTTCAGCACAGATCCACCAAAATTTCATCATTTAACTGGACCCGTTCAACTGGTGTCAGCAGCACCAAGGCTATTTTTTGTTTATTTTGTGCTTGAAGATGCCTGAAGTAGCTTACAGACTACAAATATAGATAAAACTCAAACAAAACCCCCAAACAAACCCAGGATAGAAATATCAGTGTCACTCTCAGTCAATAAAAAGAAATATAAAAAGCAGTGATTAATACTAAAAAGCTGATAAATAGCAAGGACAGCTCACTTGGCTCCCTGAAATTAATAAATTAAGACCAACTATGCCAGGGATGCGGGTGGCACTGTGGGTTAAACCACAGAGCCTAGGACTTGCCGATCAGAAGGTCGGCGGTTTGAATCCCCATGATGGGGTGAGCTCCTGTTCCTCGGTCCCTGCTCCTGCCAACCTAGCAGTTCGAAAGCACGTCAAGTGCAAGTAGATAAATAGGTACCGCTCCGGTGGGAAGGTAAATGGCGTTTCCATGTGCTGCTCTGGTTCACCAGAAGCGGCTTAGTCATGCTGACCACATGACCCGGAAGCTGTACACCAGCTCCCTCGACCAATAAAGCAAGATGAGCGCCACAACCCCAGAGTCGGTCACGACTGGACCTAATGGTCAGGGGTCCCTTTACCTTTACCTTTACGCCAGAGGCAGATTTTTAAAAACCAACCAACAACACATAAATTTGTGTTACTGTAGAGGAGGGGTAGTCAACCTTTTTATACCTACCACCCACTAATGCATTTTTCTTGATGGTAAAATTTCCTTACTGCCCACCAGTGCTCGATGGAAGGAGGATTCAGCTTGTGCCGTAGAACCCCCTACCCCCCACCTAGAATCCTGAAACGCCCAGTAGTGAGTAGTAGGGACCAAGCTGACAACCCCTGCTGTAGAGAATCTGACAGCAAGCTGGATTTTGACATTAATTTGGCATTATTGGTCAAATCCAAATTCAAACAGTCAGAAAATATAAATAATTAATGTGAATTTACAGTAGCAAAGTTTTGATCATTGCATGCCTTGTTTCCTACAAAATTGATAGATACCCATCATTTTCAACATTTTTTTATTTCCTCCCCCCCCCCCATCTATTGTCCATCTATATGTATTCTATTTAGCCACAACTTGTTATATCCCCTGCTTTTTTTCTTTCCTTCTTTTTTGCTAATTATTCCCTTTGGTATTGATACAATGAAGAGTTAACAATGCATTTCTTGAGTTCTGTTGACTCCATGTCTGAGATATAGCCTTGCCTTCAGCTTCCAGTCTCCTCCAGAACCTTGGGTTCACTCACACTTGCAAAGGTTTTTTTTTGGGGGGGGGAGGATCTGGGTCTAGAGTCAGTAGCAAAAACTCTTAATTCTTATGTGATATTTATAAAAAGACTGGGAAAGGGCTCTGGGTGGGAGGAAGTCAGCCCCCTTCCTTCTCACCTGAGATTTCACTCATTACTGTAGTTTCTAAACTTTGGAAACTCTGAGGAAGAAGTGAAAAACTGCAAACTTCAGATTAAGCCCCAAGGTTTGGCAAGCTGAAATATGGGTAGATTATACTTGTGTGGATGGGTACTTAATATTTCCTGACAGTCTTCAGTTGAAATCTAGTTTGCTGTTTATTTTAATAGGATATATGGCTCACCCTTGCCTTAGTTTCACTTGGTTTCACTTGCCTTGGATGCACTGCCTATGATGACTCATGAGTCATGGCATACAAATTAATCATTGTGTCACTAACTTGTGTCTTTTCAGCAATTAAGGAAATTGGTATTAGCCAGTGTTGGGTAAAGGATACTACTAGGCTAGATGGACAATAGCTGTGGCCCAGGAGGCATGCTTAGTTCAGAGACTAAAACTTTTGCTAGCTAAATTTAAAACTAAGCATTTGTCTGCAATCCAGCAGTGACCATCAAGGACACCAGGTAGACATTGCAACATTGATGCAAATGTTCCCTTAAATACAGTGGTACCTCAGGTTACATACGCTTCAGGTTACATACGCTTCAGGTTACAGACTCCGCTAACCCAGAAATAGTACCTCGGGTTAAGAACTTTGCTTCAGGATGAGAACAGAAATCGTGCTCCGGCGGCGCGGCAGCAGCAGGAGGCCCCATTAGCTTAAGTGGTGCTTCAGGTTAAGTACAGTTTCAGGTTAAGAACAGACCTCTGAAATGAATTAAGTACTTAACCCGAGGTACCACTGTACTGGGTTCATTCAGCACAATTTTGGAACAGATGGCAGTGCACCTGAACTCTTTTCTCGACAATTCAATATAACATTTTAAATGTGGCAGACGTAATTCCAGCAATGTCATGGTTTGTTTTAAAGACAGACAATGTGGGTTCAAACATCACACAAAAATGTTTATTTGCTTCCATGCTAATGGTTGGATTCTAATCAGTGAGATGTTTTGATCCTGTCAGCTTTCTTTCTTGCTTCCACAGTACAAGGCAACATTTGCTGCTGAAAGTAAACACACACACCCTGCCGTCCAGTTCTCTGCATGCCAGGAGCATAGGGATTCATTGTTGCTTCCTGTTGCTTTAATTTCTCTAAGAATAATATTAAATTCTATTTTATAGCAAGTTTCTTCTATTTGAACAAATAACTAGCTGAGCCGCACTTATAACTGAAGTTATTTCTGGATTGTTGATTGAAGGTTGAACTTGAGATTTGTAACTTTATGTCAGGACAGGTAACTACAATACAAAAATGTGAAAATAGAAAAATTCACCTTGAGAATTAACTCCTTCGCCAGAGAAGGGTAAAACCTTGAAATGTCTAGTTCAGTACTGATATATGAAAGAAAATAACTGAAATGCTGTAATGAAAATAGCAAAAGAATGAGAACCTAAGACAATGTTCCCACACAGGTGGATTAGTGTGATTTCTGATTCAGCTGTTGCACTTACATGCATGTAGCCCACCAGGCATGATTTGCCATCCTGTAAAATTTATCCTGTTGCATTGGAGCAATAGAATGTGCAAACACAACAGTGCATTGCTTTCACACAAAAGCATGGCTTTATTATTCAAGGTGATTGTGCGGAGTATTGGGAGACTACCAAGACTTTTCATCTACATGTTCTTGTTACATACATGTTGCGATAACAACAAGCTTTCCTTGCTTGATTGTAGATGTCACAGGTGAACAAATGGTAAGAGGCCAAGCCATTTAAGGCACATTTAAGGTTGTTCCCAGAAGGTAAAGGGACACTGATACAGATGGCAGAGTACCTGTGTGATATCTTTGCATCAGTCCTGTCCTATCAGAAACAGGACTAATAGCAGCAAGTTCTTAAAAGAGCAGCTCTGTGTTCCACCCATTTCACTGCAGTACTGAATACTGTATGTCTGAGGGGCAATCTTTCTAGTGCATTAAAGCAAAACATGTTCATGGCACCTTTAAAGACTAACTCTTTTATTGTGGCAAATCTTTTAATGTGTCAGATATCCCTTTTCGATGCAGGAAGTGGGAGCAACAGAACAGCTAAATGTTCTGTTTTGAAGGTGGTTGCTGTCATATGAGGTTTTTAGCCCAAGTAGGGCTTCCAGCAAGAGTTCAGGTTCAAGTTAGCACCCTGGACAGCTCCAAGTGAAAGCTCGGGCTGATGAACCACATAAACAGACTTTGATGTTCCTTCAGAAAGAGAACTTCATAGACTGAAACTTAAATATGTAGAACTGCATCTTAGCTTAGTTAACTAGCTCTGCCTCTGCTGGAAGAAGCTTTCAGTAGTTGCAGAGCTCTCGATTCTATGACTGTAGTTTCTGGTCTGTAGTCTTCAGGCGCCAAGGGTGGCAATAAGGCTCCCTCATGCTGGGAAGGCGGTGGCAAGATGGGCCTCTTGTGCTGGGGCTTCTTGGGAAATGAGGTCATCCAAGATCAGGGCTCAGAGGAATTCCTTCTGGCACTTCACAACCGGCTCCAGGTCCACAGCCTCATTCCTCAAGCATGGGGCAACTCACCTCAAGGCGTCAGTACTCAAAGTACCCATGTGAAGTTGGCATTCAGTAGGAAATGAACAGCAAATTTGACATGGCAGAATTTTACCATAGCCAGTTTTGGGAGTGACTAACTCAACAGTACAAAGCAGTAGTCACTAGTTACGTGGTTAGACAGTCTTGCTGTACCTGTTCATCATAACTAGATGAGCACAGCTGATAACTGGGTTTTTCAGTGTTCTTTCCCTCTGCATGCCACAAAATCATTTCCACTGTGAACCCTGAAATAGTAGCCTTATAGATTATCTTACTTTTTTAAACCTTTGCTCCCCTGTACTGTCATGGGAAGCAGAAACTCCTGACCTGTTGTGATCATAAATCTCTGCAGATGCTACTGCTGAAAAAGTTGTGTCTTCACTCTGTGGTGGCCTGCTTTTATTATGTTCCAGCATTTCAAAAGTGACTTAGCAGCGCTCCTGCTTCAAACACATATGATTTCCTGCATCCATCAATTGAAATTTCTATTATACTCCTAGCAAACGTGTACTTGTGTAAGGATCACTCTATTTGCACTTTCAAAGGATTGAGTTGTCTGACTGTCAGAAGATCCTTCTATCAATAAAAAAAATCCTGTAATTCCCTTAATCCCCAAAGTGCTATGCAAGTGAAATAATACATGTCATAATGTCAAGTCAATCACATTCACAATTCAGAAGAATTCATCATGAGCCCGATCTCATATGGGGCTGTCTAGCCGACAAAAAAAAAAAGCAAGCAGATGCAATTATCTCTTTAATAAGCTACATCAAATGAGTGCAACTTTTAAAAATTAACTTTAAAGATAGATGACATAAAGATTTTAATATTAAAGGTAAAAATGGCAAAGGATTCAGATGCACAATCAGTGTGACACTTGTTGAAAACCATGAGTGGCATTGTGCAAAGGTGGCTAGGGAGGAAATGAGAAGGACTCCTAATGTTACTAATGTACAAGCAGCAGTGTCTACATCTTTTTTGCGGATGATCACATGTTTTAGATGTGGCTAGAGGTTATGCAACTTGCCATAGGGGTGATGCATATGTTCCTTATGCAGGCGGGACAGTGAAAAACCTGCAAGGAAAATGTGTTAGTCACATGTGCTTTCTCATTCTTCAATGGTTCTACATAGCATGTGGAACTGTTGCAAGTAGGTCTCAAATCCTGTGACTTTGAGTAGCATGCTTCCTTCATGATTAATCTGCTGTGTCCCTGGAATCAATAATAGCTTTAATATGAATGTTAATCACATGGAACATGGGTAATTCAAAGCACGCCTAATGCATCTGGTACCCTACAGAGAGCACGAGCATCTTTCAACAAACCACGTGCCTGATTGCTAGGAAAAAGCAATCAGTGAGCTAGAATATCCTGTGTTAACGGTAGGCAGCATGGTGCCCTTCAGTTGTTGCACTCCAGCTACCATGACACCAACTAACACAGCTAGTGGTCAGGGCTGATGGGAGTTGTAGTTCAACAACACCTATTTTGCCCAAAAAGCTCAACAACTTTGCCAAAAACAGCTCAACACCTTTTCTGTACGGATTTTCAGTTTGAGATATGGTGACCCTATGTAAACATGCAATGTCAGAGAGCACACAGGATCTCTTAACAGTCAAGGCAAAACTGTTGCATGGTAAGTGATGAACTCCTGCTAAAACACTAAGAAGTACTTTGCAGGATCAGAACAAAGACCACCTAGTCCAGAATTATTTGCAAGACTCCCAGTAACCAAAAGACATTATTGATCATCTATGAGTAGACTGTGTTCTAGCTTTTGTTTGTATCTTTATCTACATGACCGTAATCATGGAAGATGTCTGAAGTTCTTTCTCACTCCTTTCTCTCTTGAATTGCAGTAAGAAATCTTAATGCAATTCATAAATAGTTTCACAGGATGCATTCCGTTTGAAATTAGATTTTAAATAATGCAGTGTCAAAAGCAATCTCTAATGGAAGAAGATTGCCCATAAAAACTACCAGGTGGTAGTTTGTGCAAAATTCAATCACTGTCTAAAAAAATAAATAAAAATGATCAAAATAATTGTATATAATAGACAACTATCCTTTTATTTTATTTTCTAAGAATAAAAGTGACAGTGCCTGGTAAAAATGCAAAGAATCTCCCACCCCCCACACTCTGCTAGCCTGCCAACATTCCGCTTATAATGAAATGGATATTATACCTTATGTTATTCTGTGCAGTTTTTATATGTTCATAGTTCATTTGATGAGGGAGACAGAGGGGAAATTGAAATGGGAATAGATAAGTTCTCATGCCAGATTTTAAAATTGTGTTTGTTTTAGCCACCAGCCATAACAAAGTAGAGTTTGTTAAGGATAACAAATGGAACAACTTTTGTTCAACCTCTTAGCTCAAGAGGTTTTGTTAAAGCATTGTTATTTTCCCTGATATAGCTACTACTACTTTTACAAATATTCATTTGTATTTAGGGGCATTGGCTAACTAGGTATGGAAACAGTCCAGTAGTTAGAAATCTGGGCTGAAAGAATTAATTAATCAGTGAGATTAAACTGCCAATGGTTTGATTGAAGCTTTTAAAAATAGATTTCCTTATTAAATTGAAGCTGATATTTCTGCTTTCCCACTGCTAGCACCTTGACCTGATTGGCACTTCGGGGAGTTAACTGTCTGTGAGAAGATTTGAACATGAAGTGAGAACACAAACTTTGTTCAGGAGCTGCATAGAAATATAATGTACAGTTTTTGGGTGCAGCCTATTGCTCCTCCAACACTCTTGGCCCCCAACCATACCTAAATTGTTATAACTCTGTTTTCTTTGTTATGGAAAAACAGCTGACAATGATACTTAGAAAGAAGTGGTAGTTTGAATGGGAGTTTGTTTTGTACAGAGGAGAAGGCGATCCTCCCTCTACTACCAGTGCAGAAACACAGACTGCTAGCCTCTTAGCAGGATAGTCAATTTCTTCTTCCAGTGGGACTGGAATGGTGAGAAGAAACAATCCCATCAGTCCTCTGTCAGTTCACTGACTTTCTATGTGGACTGCAGGTGAAGAGGCTTTCTTTCCCCTGTGACTAGCTCAAAAACAAGGCCGGCTGGTGGAGGGAGGGATGCATTTTCCTCCTCCGCTTGAGCACTCCCTCACCTGCATTGACTTCCTGGTCAACTTTGGCCACCAGGTAAGTTGCGAACACAAGGCTGTAATATTTTCTGCTGCTATGCTGCACATTTCTTTGCTACCTGTAGATGCTTTCCTTCCTACCAAACTTAGCTGGCATAGGCAAACTCGGCCCTCCAGATGTTTTGGGACTACAACTCCCATGATCCCTAGCTAACAGGAACAGTGGTCAGGGATGATAGGAATTGTAGTCCCAAAACATCTGGAGGGCTGAGTTTGCCGATGCCTGATCTAGTAGAAAGTTTCTGCATGTGTAGATTTGTAGTACCTGTTTTCCCAGCAAACTGCTGAGGGGGTATATGTGTGTGTGTGTGTGTGTGTGTGTGTGTGTATAAAGATGTGGGAATCATTAAAAGGTAAAGGTAAAGGACAGTTAAGTCCAGTCACAGACGACTCTGGGGTTGCAGCCCTCATCTTGCTTTACAGGCTGTGAAAGCCAGCATTTGTCTGCAGACAGTTTTTCTGGGTCATGTGACCAGCATGACTAAGCAGCTTCTGGTGCAACGGAACACCAAAACCAGAGCAGCGCATGGAAACACCATTTACTTTCCCGCCGGAGTGGTACCGATTTATCTACTTGCAGTTTTTGGGCATGCTTTTGAATTGCTAGGTTGGCAGGAGCTGGTACCGAGCAACAGGAGCTCACCCCATCATGGGGATGTGAACCGCCGACCTTCTGATTGGCAAGGCCAAGAGGCTCAGTGGTTTAGGCCATAGCACCACCCCTCATTATTTAACCTTAAATCATTATTTAACCTTAAATACATGGAATCTTGCTTGAAACAAGCCAAATATAAATTCCATGGGACAAACTGAATTGCCCAAACCTTTGCATACCTATTTACTAGAGCTAATTAATGAAGTTTATTTCAATAGGCGTTTCAGTGCCAGGGTACAATCTTATTTTTATGAATGTCCTGGCACTTGACTCCATTATGTAGTGTAGTGTGTGTGTGTAACCTATGCCTTGCATATGCACGCATTACATTTAAAGCTTGTATTGGATACTGCTGATGGTTGTTGCACTGAATACAGATGCTGCAATCTAGCTAAGAAATATTGACTCTGCATTCTTTAAAAGGTCATTATTGCTCAGGACTGTGACACCAGCTTCCGCTCAATTGGCTGAAAGATTCCCTTCTTTTCAAGCTATGTGAATGCTGTCTCAATTTACACTTCGCTAGAGGGTGGGGGGAACCCAACAAAAAGCAAAGCTGAAGGTAACAAAATAGGTAATTTTCACTGAGCATCTGAGAGCCTCAAGGCAGGCCCTTCATAAGCTCTGCAAAAATGACATTTTAAAAAACGAATATAAATTTCTAGTGGCGGAGCATGAAGTTAGCCCGAATAGGCAGCATCATGTTTTGGATTAATAGAAAAGATTGTGCCTTTGAAGAAACTGAGCCTTAGTTAATGGTGGTCTAGATAAGTTCTCCTGCTGTTGCTACTATGATTATTTCTAAATATTTATTGATTGCTTAAATTCCTAACAAGAGCCTTGCTGCATCAGACAAAGGTTTTATCTAATTCCAGCATCCTGCCAGATGCCTCTGGAAAACTCATATGCAGAACATCATGACCCAGTGTAGTATATAGTGTTTCTACTGCTTGCCTAGAACCAGGGAGACGTGGGTTCAAATCTCCAGCAAATGTGAAAAGTATTTAATCAGGCAAATACTTTGGTTTAGTGTTCCTTCTCTTGATGTGTGTGTTTGTACTTGCTTATCTTTGGATAAACTGGTATGCTGCATGGGAGCTTTGAGCATCACTGAGTTTGTTGCACAGAACATCTGAGAACCAGATATCACATGGTTTCAGTAGTAGGGTATGAACCCATGCCTCCATTATTTGAGAACCAGTTATTACATTATTATTACCTTCTGTACAAAAACTTGCTCCTGCTTATCCCAAGCTTTCTTAATTTTAGCAAGGGGAGAGTAATTTCGTTTCTGCTATTGCCAAAATGGTTTGGATTCAGAAATCCTTGCCCACCTATTGCAAATCACCCAGAGTCCCACCAGCAGATCCAGATCTTCTGCCCCCAGCCCCTTGGCATATACAGGTGCAAGTTTCTGTGGAATGGCAAACAGAATCAAAATGCCAGTATTTTGAGGAAGGATGAATGAAGACTTGGGGGGCGGGAAGAGGAAAAGAAGATGCCAGGGAGGAAAAAGGTGTGAGGGTATAAAGCCAGACAACATATAACAAAAGCAGAATCAAATCTACTAATAAGGGAATTGTCAAGACAGGGAAAGGGAAAGAGTACAAACCCGAGACATGGAGCTTGTGAGAGAGCACATAATGAGACAGGGAGAAAACCAGATTCAAAATGAAATCATGTAATAAAAGAACTGTCAGGCATATAATGAGCTAAACCAAGACAGAGAACAAAAGAGCCTAGAAAAGCGAAAAGTGAGGTTCTCTTTTAAGGACTGGGGGGGGGGAATCAGAAATAACCTCTCGAAGCAGTGTTGGAGAGAAAGATGCTGACGTCTCATGGAAAACTGGATATCATAGGTAGGTAGGTAGATATAACATATTAATGGAAAATAATTGTTTAAGGCACAAATAGGTAATTCTTGACCTAAAAGGCTGGGTAAGAATGTATCAAATAAATAAATAAATGATAAGGTGGAGTTTCACTGGAAACCAGGTCACTTCAGATAGTACTAATAATTTTTGATTGAATGAAAAATAAGTCTCCTGTTAGCACATGAAGCCTTTATACACATACCTGGGAGCAAATCCAGTTGAACTCAATGGGGCGTGTGACAAGCCCTTCTCAGTGACGGCACCAAGAAGCTGAAATTTTGCTTCCCAAGGAAGTTTGCATTGTTTGCTTGTTTTTCATTTTGTGGGCAGCAGATCTAGACACTTTTGTTGCAAAAGATACTGTGGGTCAGCTGTTTTTGGGGTGATTTATTTAACTGCTGGTATTTGCTGTTGGGTCTTTGTTTTAATTTGGGTTTCTGTTTTAAAGTTTTGTTTGCTACTTTGTGGACTTATCTGTGGGTGAGAAAGCAGGATTGAAATGTGCTAAATTAACGAAAGAACAGTCATGTGTGGCAGTGAGAAAATTGGTTTCAGAGGGTACGAAACATACGTTGTTGTGTGAGGGATCTGTCAAAAGCCTAGGCTTTGTTTTATGTACTTAAAGGCGGAAGGAAATCTCCAGGCATCTTGCAATCTGACATACAGTAAACCCACAACTTGCGCTCGCTTTACTTGTGCAATCGCAACCTTACATTGGGGGTGAGCTAGATAGATAAATGGAGAGCAGGGGAAACCCACCTTGCAGGTTCCTGGGGTTCCTAACTTTGCACAATTTTGTCTTTGTGCACAGAACTGCCCGCCCCCCAAACCCAATCCTTGTGTAAGTGGTGGGCCCACTGTGTGTGTGTGTGTGTGTGTGTGTGTGTGTGTGTGTGTGTAAATGCATGATCTATCAAGCAAAGCAGAAAGAATTCAAAAATATAACCATATGCCAAGGCCATAAATGTTCATGAATCAGATGCTATACCTGAAGGTAGGGGTGTGTGTGGGGGGGTGTAGATATGTATCCAGTTTAAAAAACCACTTCTCTCCTGTCTGCTCACCAAAGGAAATGTCCCTTAGCACTACTCCCGAGAAGAAGCCGAGTTATTGAGGAATTCAAACTTTGGGGCTCAAGGCAATATGTGTCATATTTGGAGATGAAAAAGTTAAAAATTTATGTGGCTCTATTGGAATTAAGCTACCTGGAGTGCCGTGTGCTTTCAAAGAGGACAAGAGGACTGCATGGAGAATGGTTCCTTAAGGATTAGAACTTTTGATGGTGGCAATAAATAATGTACAAAATTCAAATGCTGAATAC